TATATGTAAGGGTTTACAACCACGTAAGGTTAACTGTACTAAAGAAAAGATAGACTCTTCTTTTGCTGATTTCTTTCTACTATTACTTGTTCCTCAGGTGTTTCTAGGTTTAGTCTCTGATACAGAACAATCATGCAGGTTAGAAAGTCAGAGTGAAGGCTGAGATTTCTCTGTACAGGTTTCCTTTAATAAAGTTCCACCATAAGATGAAACTGTCTTTTGCATCTGAGGTTATGCAGGATCTGGAAGACAAATAAAATAAGAGCACATTTCTAATAGCATGCACTGTGTGGAGGGTCTGTTATTCAGCACCATGGATTTCCAAATAACCTTCATTTTCAGACACTGTAGGAAAAACATCTGCGGTCTTTTTCCTTTTTTGTCAGCTACATTTTTTTTATTTACATACAAAGCAAAAGTCAGTTTAACTTAACTGAAGAAACAACTACTTAACCTGAATACTGAATTTCTATCAGCATTCTGACCATTGAATAATTGATTTCTTTGGGACATATAACAGCTTCACAGCACTGTTATCTCATATTATTTTCCCATCTCCAGCACAGCTCTTCAACATTCATTTCCTGGGAGTGTGAAAAGAGGTATTTGACAAGAAAACAGAACTGGGCTCACTGAATCCTTTCATTTTTCTATCCCAATATATTCTCTGAAAAAGCATATTTATACCGATTCAAAAGTTATGGGCCTTTTTGAATAAACATACATTATATGGCTAAAAGTATGTGAGCAACCCTCTCAGTAAGTGAGTTTGGGTTCTTCCAGTGAAGGCTTATGTAAATGTTATAGTGTCATGGTCCATCCAAGAGTGAGGAGGTCTGGATCATGTGGTCATTGAAAGTCTGTGTGCCAATCTGAGCACACCAGCCGGAGGTGTCAAGAGAAAGGTTTCCCACAAGCCTGTATGTTGTCAATGGTGGCAGCTTGGATATTTGTGTGTGCATTTTGTTTTAAGTTGCATCCTGTGTCCACATTGGGAAACTTTGCGTTTGTATGATATTTGCCAGCATGGTGGCCCATTTCCAACAACAACAGACAGAAGGTGATACTTCACATCTTGTCTCCAGTACTCAGATTTGTGACATACAGCACACAAAGCCATCTTAGACTGCTTTTTACAACAGTTTCTTTTTCCAGAAGGACTGCATCATTGTGCAAACAGGAAGGTCTATAAAGAAATAAGAGGGAGAGTGCAAAATCTGGTGCAGCTCTGAATAGAAACCAGCTTCCAGTTTTTTTTTTTGTCGAAAAAAAGTTACATGTTACACCGATATTCAGGGTGGTAACATGTAACATGTTTCTGTAGGATTGGACCCCGGCAACCCCCCCCCCCCCCCGATCCCCCATTGTGACAGCTAGCAGGGGATCTTCTCCCTCCCGCTAACTGTCACAATTTTAAAAAAGCATTGGGCTCACCCGCCTGGCTGCGTCATTCATTCACAGGGTTCTGTGAATGGGAAACTACAAGTCCCAACAGTCTTTGTGACTGTCAGCTTGTAGTTCTCTGTGAACTACCAAGGCGCTGTTGAGAGCTGTGGCACTTATTGATTCTTCCTGTCAGTGTAAAACTGTCTGCCTGTATGAGGTACGAGCAGGCAGCTTACACTGACAGTCTGCAGGGGACCTGCATGGCACCAGTGCTCTGCTGATTGCTGATGCAATGCTTTCCAGGCTCCTAAAACAAAAAATAGTAAATGCACATTTTTTTTTACCTGCAAAAAAATGTGCATTTATCCTTTAACTTATCCTTTAACTGAACAAGCTGATTGGCTACCATGCACACTTATACCAGATGTTGCACTCTCCAGTTTTAGTAAATCAACCCCAAGGTTTAATGAGTTTTGGGTGAAGGAACTGGAAGTGCTGAAAACCTTAAAGTGGTTGTAAACCCTTACATATACCTATTGAAGTGACAAGCCTCAGGTGATACACATAGATTAAACAAATCCTCCTACAAAAGCTGTACATGTTTATCTGTAGCACTCTGTCCTCTACAGTCTTCTAAAACACACAGATCAAAGGGTATTTCGGAGCTCCAGGCAGTGGATAGAGCAGTGCGCTGAGTGTAATCTGAGAACTGAGAGGAGTAAAAGGGCACACACCTCTCTACACAGTCTCACAAGGAATATGCACTGCTGAGGCTGTCAATTGCCTGTTTGTAGTTCTGTAATTGTTGTACTGCATTACGTGTACTTGATTCTTCCGATGCTTTATTCTGCACTGACTGCTATACTTTGTCTTTAACTGTTGCTTCCAGGGAAGGAAGGGTTAAGTTGTGCTACCCCCTTTCTGGGGTCTTCATGGTGCCACCCCCTATCAGTGGCAGATACATACAAGAGAAGAGCAGCTTCATGCAATTGGCCACACCATGTATGGGAACTAGAGAGGAGAGTATACTGCTATGTGATTGATTTGGGCCTAATCATTCTCCCCATGACGGGAATCTGGTTAGGGTTTCCAGGATATGGACACCATGGACTTTATGGATTCTGTGCATTAACGAGGTATGATATACTTTGAGCAAGGATTACCAAGATGCACCAAAAGCTGAGGGAACTTACTAAGAGCTGAATCAGGTCTTGAAAAGATGTTTTGTACTGTGAGCTGTAATGGATAAGGTTCCTACAGTAAAGACAAGTTTAATTACCAATAAGAACTGCTTGGTCTGACATTTTTCTAATACCTAGGAAAAGGGGTACATGCATGGTGTTTCACATCACAGGGGCCAAGACAGTGTAGAGAGAAGATGCAATACTAGTGTTCTACAAAGCAGTCAAGCTAACTCTTTGAGGGTTGGGCTGTTGTTACCTGTGATCACAGTACTAGTGTCTAGGTGCACTATAGCAGTCAGCCACTCGGGAAGCTAAGGTGACATGGCATAGATAATGGAGGTCCCTGATATTGAAGGAGCCTGTGTGCTTGGTTCCTTCCCTAGCAATTGGTACACCAATTTGGGACCGATTGCGATACTAGGCCACCTAGGAACCCAGCCTAAGGGTCACAGAAGATGTAGTGAGGATTAGGAGTATTAGGGCACAAATAAAGAATTGTATAAATCTTCCTTTTATAAAAAATCTGAGAATGGAGACAAAGAGTTAAACATGTGTGTTGGTGTCACTGGGACAAGTTGATGGGTAGCTGAGCTGATGGAGTCTGGTGTGTGCTACGCTCAGAAATGTACAAAGGAGGAAGTATATGGACAAACTGTTCTTTGAATTGTTCAATACAGAGAAGAATTAGTCAAAAGGTTTTATGGGATTGATGTGAAGCATACACATGCAAGCAGCACATGGCGTCTTCACTTCTACTATCAACAGGCTAAGTCAGGTTTACTTAAAGTCTGTTTGGTACAGCAAGAAGCCATAGGCATTAACCCTTTTACTGCCACTGAGGTATGGTATACATCAGCAGCAACAGGGGATTTTATACACACTCCTGGATGCTACAGCAGCTGGGAGTGCATGTAAATCTGACAAGCTGACTCTCTACCCTAGCTAGCAAGAACCCAGAACCGGCAAAGGTTTTGTCACTTTCAGTTTCTACACTTCCGTGGAGTGTAGGGGAGACATCAGGGGTCTAATACACCCCTAGCATTTCATTAAAGAGAATCTGGAATAAAAAAAATAAGCTATCACTATTGGTTCCTAATGTGATAGCAAAAAAAAGCACAATTTGGGGGCACACACATACAAAAATGTTACACTACACATGTTACATATATTGCCACACACACCAGAGCAATAATTCTAGTGCTGTGGTTCATGGGTAACTCTAAACTGATGATGTGTAAGAAATTTGAAGTGCTTACTATAGAAAAGTTTGGTTACCAAAGTTTGTCTGCACTTCACAAATTTAAAACTTGACATGTTGGGTATCTATTTATTTGGCACAACCTTATCTTTGTTAATTTACTAAAAAATTGGATAATATGTTGCATTTGCGTGCAATAAAATTAACTTCAATATATTTTTTACAGAAAATTTGCAATTGCTAAACCTTGGTACTAATATTGTATAACATAAAAAATAGAGTTACCAATATTTTATTCTCCAGTGTCTCTGCTTTTTAGAAAATATATTGGTTGAAGGTTTTTAGGCCTAAAATAATTTTTTAACATGTTTGCAAAAATACACAAAAATTGTTCTAGCAGAGAATGGTTAGAAGATGTTGATGGAGGCAAGTCCCATCTATGTTATTAGCTTGATCAGCTTGATTGCTCCAGCTTCCACTTTGTGTGCAGAAAAAAATCTAATCTTGGCATCGCATTTACAGCCTATGGTTCAAACATTCAACATGTAATGAAGTGTGTAGTTGTATTTGGTACTTAATGCCTGGATCATCACTTATCTGTTCACGCATTATTTCTCTATAAAGTGTTCCCCACCATGCAAGTCTTATTTATTCTGAGCTGCAGTTTCATATAATTAGCATCACTTTTACAAACAAGCCCACCTTGAGCAATGGCATTATTACTGTTATCACAATGAGCCGCCAGTTTGTGAAAGAAAAAGTCTGCAAGATAAGGACCCGTGAATGAGTTCTATTACACTTTGTCATGTCAAACAAGGTCTAAGGCTCACGGTGACTAATGCCATCTATCATCTTTAATTACAATTTGCTGTTCCTAATTAGAAAATATTTATTTGCTCAAGAGCCCAAGAAATGTGCCTTTGTAAAATCCTTGCATAATAAATTGGTTAATAATTCTATTTTTTTCTCTTAGTTGAGATTGTTTTGTGAATTATTTGCCTCCTGAAGTGTTTTCCAAAAGAACATAAGACCTTTTAATATTTTCATGTTGCATGATAGTTTTACAGGAGTAGAATCTTAAGATGTATGCTGCTACTGTTACTGTTACATACTGTTACATTATTTTAAACAATGCATCACAATATGCTTAGACAAACATGAAATTATTATCTATGATAAACAGCTTTAGTAGATGTATCGAGTAATTATCCATAATAAATTCAAAATTATACCAACAGAAGCGTGGAGCCAAGCGCAAAACAAAACATCAAGGGTCCTGTCAGGTCTGTTTCATTCATTATGCTGCCATCTGCTGGCTTCCATGGGTTGAGAACTGTTAAAGTTTTCTGCCAAATGTGATTAAAGTTGATTCCCAGCTCTGCAGGAAAAAGAGATTTTAAATATTAAGCACTATTTGTGTGAAAAAAAAATTATCTTGTTACTGTTTATTTTCAGACATATCTGTTAATTACTTTTTAATTACATTTATTTTATTTTTTTTGCAAATAAATAATTGGACTTTGGATTTTATTACAGCTTTTTTTAAAAGCTATGATAAGGCAAAATATGAACTACGTAAAGTTAAAAGCAAGTATTCTCTACCTTCACCTTATTTTCCTCTCAAACATAGCTGCTGATTCCTGGCAGTTCTAGAACCCACTTCCTGGTATGGGGTGACAACACTGTATTTTGCCCTTTCAGTCTCCCAGAGTTGCCACCTTTTTTTCAGCACTGACATCACTAGACTACATGGCTGCATGTTGAAAACATTTGAAACTATGCCGCAAAACTCTTGTTTACCAAGGTAAGTTTATAAATGCCATGTCATGCTATTGCAGTTGTGAGTTTGGTATGGATCATTACAGTCAGCAAGGGGCTTTAAAGTGTAACTACAGGAAAACATTTTTTTTTTTAGTTTTGCAAAGAGTGGAGAGGGGTCAGAACACCTGTCACAATTATTGTCGTCTGTGTCCTTGCTAGGAAGATTCAACCTCTCTATTTGTCCTGTTCACCATTATGATCAAAAGTGAAAGTAAAATAAAATCCCAAATTTTGGATTGTTCCCGAACAGTAATAGAGTGGAAATCTTCGCATGGGGACACTAGTTCTGGTGACACGGGTGAAACCCCAGGATTCCCTGACTTTGAAGGAATCTCCTCTCACTTCCTGTTTTGGCTATGAGACAGGAAGTAAAGGAAAATCTCCCCAATGGGACACAGATGGCAAAAAAACTGACAGGGGTTATAACCCTCCCTTAATCTATCCAAAATGGAAAAAAAAGGTTGCCTTTCTACTTTAAGCAAAAGTGATCCAGGCAGCTCTAGAGTCCCCCAGTCACTTTTACAGGGCTCCAAGAGCACCCCCCTTCCACTGGAAACAAAGTAAATGGGGAAAACTAAGAAAGCAAGATATTTAATGTATCACTTCTGGGTTCACAGCTGTCATTTCTCAGCTACTGTAGCCAAGGATGCAGCTAATCAAGCATGATGTGTGCTACATTAGTTGCAGTGGAGGGCATGGGAGACATTAGGGGTGACACCTGTCCATGTAATCACCTTGTTGGGCTTGTTAGCCACTCTGTGATAGCAATAAAGTTAAATGAAAAAAAAGTCAAAAATTGTTACAATAAATAAATTAAATAATTAAAAAGCACCCCCGTCACCCCTGCACACACCCTAATGCAAACATGCCGTGTAGGGAGCACAGATCTATGGAAGTGTAGCGCTACCCCTGTAGGAGCCGCTAGAAAGATGCCCAAGGTTCTTTTCCCAGTAACTGCCCCACAGATAGGCACACGGTCAAAGTCACTAATTGGCTCAATGAACAGTCCAGGGGTATTCTTTTTGGTGCTTTTATTTTTGGTTAACTTGGATGGGGTTAGGGAATTGAGTGGGATACTCTAAAACTATACATACTATAATAGGTGGACACTTTCTCTTCTATGAACCAAGTCCTTTCACAGGTAAAGAGATGGACTAAGAAACTTGACGAGATTCATCCTCTTCTCTGTACAGTCCAAGCATAGTAATTTCACTAAGGAATTAATAGACTGAGCTCTTCAGGACACTGGACACTTTGTCCCCTTTAAACAAACAGCTGACTCCCTAACACCAAGAGGGTGGCAACAGCACACAGTCTCTAGGATCCCTCACAACTGTCTCTACTCACATATATCTTCAGTTGATTGGCTGCCTCCTTCCAATGCCTTCCAGACAGTTGCTCATTGTCATATCAGATTAGATCCACAGATAACAGCTCCAGCAACTTCAAGCAAACCCGGCCCCCCAGCCACCCAGCTCACCCAGCTGGGACCAGGATGATCAGAAAACACATGGCAGGTGGTCCTAGGGGGCATAACAGACCCCCCAGGCTGTGATCTCCTCCTCAAGGACAAGACAATTGTGTTCCATGTCTCAAACTATACACTTTTCCAGCAACCATCTGTGCAATCTTCCCACAGGGATTGGCTTTGACAGAAATAAATTCATGCTGCTCATTTGCCGTGATCCAATCCTATATTCCAGACCTATCTAGAGATTCTGAAGGACCCCTCTGCACAATGCTACAGTATATACCCTTTCCAGCAAACCTTGCAATAAAAAATAGCGATTTTTAGTTCACACATATTGCAATACACGTTTAAGCTGGCCAGCTGCATCAAAGTAATCCCTTTTGACCAGTCCTAGTCCTATGTTGCTATTGCATTGCTATTGTGTCCACAGTAGCAATGCAAATGCTACTGTGGACACAATGCCAATATGGGGCAAACAGACAAAAAGTAGGAAAGAGCTACTATGTTTAGGTCTGGATACTGACCCATAATACAACAAATGAGATATACCATGTCTGTACTGCTGCTACCATGTCTGTACCTCTTTACTATATTTGTGTTAAATGACCTCCTTGGTTTGGATGGGGATATAACCCTATTGTAGACCTCCATCAATCAGTCAAATCTACTTGTCTGCCCCCACACCTGGCCCTGGGAGGCTCTTCAGGGTCAGTGTTGTATCTCCATGCTATGTGAATCTCTCTCTCTCTCTCTCTCTCTCTCTCTCTCTCAATACAATCTGCAGAGTAAATATAAATTAATCAGTGAATGAGAATCGGTCCAAAATCTTAAGTACGATGATTAGATTCAGACTTGAAAAACTCCTGCCTCAGGTGTGGGGAAAGATGGGCCTTCTTATTTAACTGTTTTCTAAAAATGCCCCCACTATATAAATTGTTTAGTAAAAGCCTGTGTTCATATGAGAGAATTTGCAGTTAGATTAGTCTATGAGGAGATGTATTGACTTAAATCATCCAATCATGTACAAATAAAAATCCTATTTTTCAGCTTTCCTAGAACATGACTGAGTCATGTTTAGCAAAGTGAATTTTCACTACATTCACTAAGGTAAGTGAAAATTTGTAAAGTGAACAACCTTAACTCATTTAGTAAATCAGTCACATTACGTATTATTTGAAATTGCAGGCTAAATTATCTCACACCCATACAGGGGTAATTTCTTAGCAAGAGCATAACTTTGCCTTTCATTGACACGTTCCCATTACCTTCTAACAAAGGAGGTTCATCTTCAAAGTTGCCACTAGGCTGAAAAATATATGGTGGACCATATGGTGATTCTGATGCAGAATATGATGGTTCTTCATAACCTGGCTGATCGAAAGAAGAAGACATCATTCCCGACTGAAGATATTCTTGCTTTGTCATTCTGTAACTGCAATAAAATGATCAGGGTATATAGACTGGTAGTGGCTTTCACAATAAAGCTGAACCCCATACACAAAATCTCTCTTTAAATATACGGTATGCCTCAATAATATAAAACCACTTTGTGTGCATGGAATTGTAAAACTATCAGTGACATTATCACTGTGCTGTTCATAGGCTGTGCAGGGAGCAGAGCAGTGGGAGGGACCCAGAAGGCCACACCCACTACAGGCTGCCTGCAGAAAACTACAGGAGGGGGCAGATATAGGACCAGTCACTCTACAAGAGCAGAGAGCAGCAGTGACTGGCCTTTATTTCAGGAAGCTCCTGCACAGAGGTAAAGTTTCACACTGGATTATTGTATGTTTCTGAAAAAAAAAATACACAAATCACACTGACATTCAAGAAAGAATAAACATGCCTTGTGTATTTAGATCAGTGGTCTCCAAACTGTAGCCAGATACAGCCCTTTACTTGTGTAGCACTACCCCCTTGGAAGTCACTAGAGATGTGGGTCCCCCTATAGTTTTGCACATCCAGGCAACACGCATTTCCTTCCAGACTTGCATTCCAGAGACAGTAAACTGTCCTTGAATTTGTTTTTTGGGGGGATTTTATTTGGGTATGATAACCTGGATGGGGATGAGGGATACATAGGATGCTCAAGGAACTGCAAAAAACAACTCCTGGAACTATGTACAAGTAGTCAGAAGGGTTTTTCTCTTCTCTTCTTGGAGAGCTAGCCAGCCTCTCCTTGTGTACCTCCTCAGACCTCAGATGAAATTTCCCATTCACCCAGCTGCCCAAGGGAATCCCTGGCCAAGAGGTCCCAGAAGCTGCAACCCATAAAGCAGTCCCAGCTGGGGGCTAGTCAGGTTTCCCACCCGAATGCCCTTTCCCCTTATCCTGCCCAGGGGGGGTGTAATTACTCACTCAGTCTCTCCTGCAAGCTTGTGGGTTGGTGGCTGCCTTCAGGCCTTATGCTGGGATAGCTCATTCCCTGCTTTCCAGGTTGCCCTCTCTCAGGGGATGGCAAGGCTGAGAAATCCTCCCTTCCAGCTTCTCTGCCTGCAGGTAGGACCCTATCCTGGACACCCTCCCAGGCTCCACACACACCATCCTGCTCAGTCCATCTTCCACCTGAACTCTCCTGCTGCTGAGCAGGCTCGGTCACTCTTAAGGGCTGTCCTGACCCAATGCCAGGCCTTCTGCTTGGGGCTTGGTCAGGATCCCTTGAGAGTGCAGACCAGCCACTCCTCACCCCTGCCCACTGAATTATAGAGACTTCTTCAAATCGCTAGGTCAGGGGGAAGTTCCAGAGAGCTGGTCTGCAGAGCCTCTCTGTCAGGAATCCCCACTGCGACGGGCTCGGCGCAGGCGCAGTGCACCGCCCCTTGTCAGAATGTGGGCACTGAGACCTGGCCGTCCGCGGCGAGGGAGTTCGCGCATGCGCAGTAGGGACCGCGGGCGCGCGCGTGGCACCAATGGCAGCGCAGGGCGGGATATTTAAACGGCCCTGAACTGTCATTCAGTGCCTTCTGGTCTTTCCTTGTATCCTGTATCTGCGAACCTGTTCTAAGTAAGTTATTGACCCGGATTGTACCTGACCTTGTTGCCTTCTCCTGCCCAGACCCTTGCTTTGCCTGACCTCTCTCCTGAATGCCCCCGTTTGGATCTGACCTTCCGTTGCTGACCTGGCGTGTGACCCGACTACTCTCTGCCCGCTGCCTTGTACTGCTCCGTCCCCACTGTTACCGACCCGGCCCGTTTGACCCTGCACTTGCTCAGCCATCCATCCCGACGGGATCACCCGACCTCCTCACATCAGGCTCTTCCCTGCGGGAGCCCCTGGCGAATACCGCTACCACTGACAGGCGTGCTCAGTAGCCACGACCTGGTCTCGGGGTACTTCAAGTCCATCCCCACCATCAGGGGCTCTGGTGAACACGTACCCTGGGGCTTAGATACCGTGCGCTGGGGACGCCTGGCCAGTGGAGTGCTAGTGGTACCGCCTGGTGGTCCCTTACAGTACCAGAAGGCCATGACTGAGCCTGGAGGAGGGTCAGCCCCGCTGGGAGATATTTGCAGGCACCTATCAGCCCTGACACAGGCTGTGGCAACCTTGCAGGACAAATGCACGCACCTGGAAAACCGTTTCCAGACCCGCTCTGCATCTGGCCCTGCTCCACAGGCCCCTGTTTCCGCTCCCCCGGTGGAAGAAGCTCTGGGGCCAGCTTCAGGGGCCTCTGCTCCTCTACCAAGGGTTGAACCCCGAGTACCATTACCTGAGCGTTTTCACGGGGACCGAACACGCTTCAGGTCTTTTCGGGATTCCTGCCTCCTGTTTTTTGAATTGCAACCCCGCACCTTCCTAACGGAATCAGTGAAAGTGGGATTTTTAATTTCACTATTGCAGGGTGAACCCCAAGATTGGGCCCATCGGTTAAGGGCAAACCATGACCCTCACCTGGGAACGGTCAGCGATTTTTTTGAAGCTATGGCCATCCTTTATGATGATCCACAGCGGGCAACCTCTGCTGAAGCAACGTTATCCATGCTTCGACAGGGCCGCCGGGCGGCAGAGGAATATGCCTCTGAATTTAGGTGTTGGATGGGGGACACACGCTGGAACGAGTTCGCGTTGCGACACCAGTTCCGTATGGGTCTGTCAGAGCCCTTGAAGGATGAGCTGGCCCGAGTGGGGGTTCCCGAGTCACTAGAAGACCTAATAGCCCTGACGATTCAAATAGACCGTAGACTGCGGGAACGCAGGTTGGAGAGAGGTCCGGTCAGGGTCACGGAAATGCATGGGGTCCAATTCCAGGCCCCAGCCAACGAACCATAACAATATATCCAGAACCCACTTCCAGGAGATGCGCAGGAACCAATGCAACTAGGCCTGGCTCGGCCTAAATTATCGCCAGAAGAACGCCAGCGGAGACACTCTCTGAACCTCTGCTTCTACTGCGGTGAAGCCGATCAAATGGTACGATCCTGCCCTCAGAAAATGAGTAAGTGCACCTCTTTTTCTTCTCTGGCTAATGGCAAGGTTAGTCCGTCCCAATACTTAGTGGTGCCCCTCTCCTTTCAGTTTCCAGAAAGGACCGTGGAGGTGACGGGCCATAGTTGATTCAGGGGCATGCAGTTGTTTCCTGGATTTAGATTTTGCTCATCAGCAGGGGATTCCCCTCCAGCCCAGAAAACGGGGCTTTAACATATTTCTGGCAGATGGCTCCCAGATAAAGTCAGGAGTAGTTAACCAGGAAACTCCCCCTATCGCCACTACCATTGCTAACCAGCATCAGGAATTCCTCCGCCGCCTAGATGCCATTGCGTCACCTCTTTTTCCAGTCATTTTGGGACTCCCTTGGTTGCGGGCCCATAACCCCCAAATTGACTGGGAAACCGGGTCTATCTTGTTTCCGTCCCCGTATTGTCAGGAACACTGTCACACTGCGGGCTCAGCAGCCCCCCAGGTCCTCCTGTGCTCCGAGGGAGACTCCGACCTGAAACAGGTTATTCCCGCAGCATACCACGATTTCTTAGATGTATTCAGTAAGCGGGGGGCAGACACCTTGCCCCCCCACCGCCCGTATGACTGTCCAATTGATCTGTTGCCCGGCTGCGAGATCCCTTTTGGACGGATTTTTCCCCTGTCTGAGCTAGAATTGGGCGCCCTGAAGGAAATACATAGAGGACAGTCTCCAGAAGGGGTTCATCCGTGCCTCTACTTCACCAGCCGGAGCGGGGATCTTCTTTGTAGAGAAAAAAGACAAATCTCTGCGACCCTGCATTGACTATCGTGAACTGAACAGAGTCACGATTTAAAAATCGTTACCCACTGCCATTGGTACCCGAATTATTTCAGAGCCTGAAGGCTGCGGCAATATTTACTAAACTTGATCTCAGGGGGGCCTACAACTTGGTTCGCATAAGGGGGGGATGAGTGGAAGACAGCATTTCGTACCCGGTTTGGGCATTTCGAATATCTGGTAATGCCATTTGGACTGTGCAATGCCCCAGCCACATTCCAACATTTTGTAAACAACATTTTCCGGGATTACCTTGACGTTTTTGTAATTGTTTACCTAGACGATATACTGATCTTCTCATCCTCTCTGGAGGATCACAGAATACACGTGACAAAGGTATTGGGTCGTTTGCGCCAGCATGGGTTATACGCCAAAGCAGATAAGTGCAGTTTCGAGCAGTCCAGCATTGCGTTTCTGGGGTTGATTATCTCCACCACGGGAATCTCAATGGACCCTCAGAAGGTCTCTGCAATTTTGGATTGGCCGGTGCCCACAGACAAAAAGGGCATCCAGCGCTTTATAGGCTTTGCAAATTTCTATCGGAAATTCATTAGGAACTTCTCGGGTCTGGTCTCCCCCATAACTCAGCTAACCAAACTTGGAACCCGCTTCAGATGGACGCCGGAGGCTCAGGAAGCCTTTGAGGCCTTGAAAAACTATTTACCACGGCACCCATTTTGGGCCATCCAGACGCTTCCCTGCCCTACGTACTGGAGGTAGACGCATCTGAGAATGCGGTGGGTTCCATCCTGTCCCAGAGAAAAGGCACCAAAGAATTACTCCACCCCATAGCGTTCTTCTCAAGGAAGCTCACCCCAGCCAAGAAGAACTACGATATTGGCGATCGGGAGTTGTTAGCCATCAAAACTGCACTGGAAGAATGGAGGTACTTGCTGGAAGGGGCCTCACACCCCATCTTGATCTTCACTGATCACAAAAATCTCGAGTACCTGAGGACTGCCAAACGGTTACGTCCGCGGCAGGCAAGATGGGCACTGTTTTTCTCCAGATTCATATTCCATATCACTTACAGGCCTGGGTCCAAAAATACAAAACCCGATGCGCTATCACGCATGTTCGAAGACTCCAAAGAAGAACCGGTACCTGATACTATTCTGTCCTCAGGGAATTTCTTGGCTCTCCAAACTGACCTTCGGTCCAAACTAATGGATGCATCCACGACCACAGTGACCCC